CCCCAAAACCCCAAAACCCCAAAACCCCAAAACCCCAATTTATGCAGAAATATTAAATTTACATTCCTGATAAGAGATCTCTGAAGATCTTTCCCTTTGCAAGATATTCTTCGCATTTTTTGTAACCTTTCTTAAGTGCTTTTGAGTTATCAATGATGTACTTCCATTGAGGGTTCTTTTTGAGTAACTTTTCATGACCTACCAGAATTAGGTGTCTTTTAGCCCTAGTGATCGCGACATTAAGTCTTCTGTAATCACTCATGAAGCCGAGACTTCTTGTTCTAACTCATCCAAGAATGATAACATCTCTTTCAGCTCCTTGGAATGCATCCACTGTTGAGATCTGGACATGACTAAGACTGTCTATTTTCATATCTTGTATGATTCTTTTGATAAGGTCTTCTTGAGCTTTGTAAGTCACAATTACTCCAATTGTGAAATCTGGCTCTTCTTCTATTTCTTGCTCAAGAAAAGCAATCTTATTTATTTTCAATTATAGTCTGGAGATACTCTAAGAGAGCTACTATAAACTTAGCTTCATAGTGATTTCAGTAAGAAACTTGGCTTTTCGCTTCTTTACCTTTCTCAGCATTGATAAAGTTAATCGCTTCAAATTCTGAAAGAAGTTTTTCTCTACTCTGAGCATTGACTCCGTGCTCGAGCTCATTCTCGTAGAATAAGTTGTTTGAGAGCTCTCCAATTCATGGATGACATCGGTACTGAACTCGAAGTAAGATAGTCTCAAGCTGATCATATTGAAGTCTCACGAAGAGAGGTTTGTATAGAGATCTTTTATCTTGTTTCTGCTTGTTATATAAATCCTTGAACCCTAGTGAGACTATTGGAGGCAATTGCAAAGGATCACCCACTGCTATTAATTTTTCACATCCAAATGGAACAATCGCTTGAAGACTGTGAGGTTCTAACATCTGCGATCATTCATCAAGGATAACTATTTTAAAGGTTGACTTCTTCAAAACCTCAAATGTTGTAGCAGCCAGGGTTCACCCAACTACTCTTTTGCTTTTCAGCTGTTCTCTTCTTTCGGTTACTGTTTGCTCTTTTAAGCTTTGGATAGTTTCTTCTACTGAATTTATCTCTTTCCAAGTATTCTCAGATTTTTTCTCTAAGCTATGAAGTTCCTTCTTGATAACTTCCAACTCTTTAATGGCTTCTTTTCTAGCGGTATTATTACTCCTAGCATGATGGGAGTAAGGGAGCAATAACTTATTAATTCTCTTCAAAGACCCAACTCTTGCAAAATCTTCAAATCCTGTTTCTAATAGCAAGAGAAGAATTCTATCAACTGCAACATTAGTGAGGCTTGAAACGAGTATTTTGATTTCAGTGTCTCCAATATGATCCAATAGAGCAGAGATAAATCTTATTATAGCGACAAGCATGTAAGATTTCCCTCACCCAAAAGCTCCATGGACAAGGAGAACATTCTGTTTTGTCTCATTATCTTTTTCTTTTGGTAAGAACCATTTAGTGCTTTCTTCCATAACACTAGACTTTTAGAAGGAATTACTTACTATTTTTGGTCTCTGTTCAGACTGAATTGATGACTAAAGTACTCTTTCATTTTTAGAACATCATCCTTTTCTCATTCAATCAAGGGTTCAAAGAAGGTAGTGCGACCAATGTAGAGAATACTATCAAGAAATTTATTCTCTGGGCCATCTCGAAATGCAATTAAATTATTCACAAGATTTGTATACTGGTTTAAGTTAATTGATCTGAAAGCATATTTATACTCTTCAAGTTTTGGTTTTACCTTCGATGCATTCCCAATCAATTTAACTTTAAGACTCTTAGATTTACCAAAACCATGCCAGCATGTTTTTACAAACACAAAATCATTAACTTGCCTCAAATTTTGAGTAGTATTCATACAATTCTTCATAAGCATCCATAAATCATCTTTCTGGGCTCCTTTCTTCATCCCCATAGGACACTGACTCTGCTGTACATTCAAATAAAAACTATCCAAAACCTCATAACTCTCCTCTTCCTTCTCTTCCTTCTCTTCCTCTTCTTCCCCCAAAATCCCTCCTAGTACATCCTCTTCCTCTCCCTTCTTCTCCTCTCCAATCAAATTCACCAACAAGTCAGCTTCTTCACTACCCTCACTACTACTCTCTTGTTCCTGCTCAGTCTCTTGGTCGTGTTCATCTTGGACACCTGTGCTAGGTTTTCTAAAGATTGGTTAGAAAAGGAGGGGATTTGGGAAGAGGGAAGTATGGGATGGTGAGAAGGGAAGAAGTGATGGTATCTTTTCCACTCATAACTTACCTCATCTCTTGTTGAAGTTTTGTCTTCCTGTCTTCCATCATCCTTTTCGACTCAACCCTAGTTCTCTCCTCAAACTCCTTTCTTTCTTGTTCAACCTTCTCTTGTATCTTATTTATTCGCATTCAACCTTTCGTCTTCCTTACTGAGATTTTTAGACTTTGTTCTCGAACCGACCTTGACTGCACGCCCCTTCTTTTTCTTCTTAAGTGAGACTCATTCAAGCTTCGCAGAAATTATAGGGCTTTCCTTTACTTTATTTGTTAGTGAAATCTTCTTCAATCTCATATTTTAGCATCTCTAGTAAAGAAAGAATATAGTATTTGGAATAACTTGTTCTACTTCTGTAAACATCATCATAGTTTGTGATTTCAAGAGGGGCTTCTTGAAAATCAATTGTAGTATCTTCAAAGGATTCTAATCTCTCATTAGTGAATAAAGTAATCATTTTAGATGAACCCTCAAGCATTGAGCTACGGGAATTAGTTCTCACTCTTTTCTTTGTTTTTGGAGATGGCAAGTTAGGATTATCATCCTCTATTTGATCTCTCTTTCTTCTTTGACCAAGTAGAGTATTTATTTCTCAGCTATCTCCTTTATCAAATACTTGCTGATTCTCTGCTTTGTAACTACCAAAAATATCACTTGGATTATTGTCATGGTGTTCTTCACCTTGCTTCTTGGTATCTCTTAAATAAATTTCAGCTAAGTCTTGGGCTAATTTATCGACACTCTTATCAGTTCTATTTTGGTGTTCACTTTGACCAGACTCTTCTTGATTCATATGGGTAGAATTGTTATTCCTATTCCCAAGTTTTGACAACTTTTGTATCTTCCTCTCTATCTGAAAATCTTCATCACCAGAGTGAAAAGAGCTATCAGAGCCATCTTCACACAGCTGTCTTCTTACTGGCTGAGGTCAATCCTTTTTAGGTTCCTTTTTGACAGCTTTCACTCTGTTGAAGAAATCATTTACATCATCATCTACTGTTGCAGCAACTGGATTCACTGGAACATCTCTCTCAAATTTGTCTTCTTCTTGGGCATAATCTTCTCTAAAGCCATCAGGTTGGGGCTGATCATATCTTTGATAAGGAGCTCTACTATTATAGTTGTTCCTCTCAATATGAGAGTTAGGAATGTTATTCTTGAATCCAGAGTCTCCATAGCTGTAATAATCAGCATCTCTATTCCGAGGGTCATATCGAGGCGGAGAGTTTGTAAATACCTCCTTCTTCCTTTCTGGAACTTTGAACTTATTTCTCTTAAGCTTCTTAACGTTCTTGGTTTCTTCTTCTATAGAGAAATTTTAACCAAATTATACCTTTTGAGGGATTATTGAATGGGACTACCTTCCTGATTTCTGGGACTGCCTTTATTTGTTTCACTGGAGTATTCCTTTTACCCTAAAATGATAATTACTTGACTTACTTCAAGAGTGCAGAGGCACATTTGAAAGTGAATAACTTCATCTTCATCATACAAGACCCAATCTTTCTTAAATTGTTGGGCTATCTTCGTTCCTGTGTCCATAGCATCATAAATTGTCATCTAAAATATGATTAAATATTCAAACCTGGCCAGTGAAATTGTTATAAACAAATATCCCATCTCTCCATTTTTGATTTGTCTCTTTCTTATGCTTATCTCTAGTGTAAAGACAATCATAGCAATCTTCTAAGCTTTTAGGATCCCTACTATCCTGGGGTTCTCCACTTTCTTCCATTTCCTGTCCACCCTGCATTTCTAAATAAATCTCTTCAAAATTAATAAATTTTTAACTAAATTTCAATAAATTGCGCAAAAATAGGGGTTTTGGGGTTTTGGGGTTTTGGGGTTTTGGGG